ACAAGAGCAAATGGAAGCAGAAGCCAGTGCACTAGCCAAACAGGAAATGGAAGCTCAAGCTGCACTGGCAGCCAAAGAGGAAGCTGAACGTCAAAAGAAACAAGAAGAAGCCAGTGCACTAGCTAAACAGGAAAAAGATGCTCAGGTTAAGGCGGCCCAACTTGCCCAGGAGGGAAAACCTGACTCAAAGCCAAAGGTATCTGACACGCGTCTTGACTTCTACGCATCAAAACTATCATCACAAGAACAAGAGTTGCAGGATGTGGATGCAGTTCTTGCATCAAAAGAGGAAAAAACCGATCCTGTAATGGAAGACAAGCAATCTTCTTCCACCATGGGAGATGAGGAAAAGAAAGCCAAACTAGCCAATTTTGTGGGAGGCGTCTTTGGTCTGGTGGGGGAGTTGACCGCTGCAGCCGTTTCCAAAGGAACTGAAGTAGCTCTTGAACAGCTAGAGCAAAGCAAAAAAGAGATGGATCTCGATCAGGAACGAAAAGAGCAGGAGCGGCGACAACGGCAAGCAGAGCAAGAACGACAGCTGCAAGAGCGACTCCAGGAGCAGCAAAAGCAACTGAAAGAACAACAAGAGCAAAATCGACGAGAGGCACAGCTCAGGGTGCAAGAACTAGAGATTCAAAAACAAAAGCGCCTGCAAAAAGAAGAAGCTATCCGACGTCAAGCAGAGGCTGAGAGACAAAAACGACAAGCAAGTCAGGAAGCTGAACGCCGAAAGAAACAAGAACAAATGGAAGCAGAAGCCATTGCACTGGCAAAGCAAGAAATGGAAGCTCAAGCTGCGCTGAAGGCCAAACAGGAAGCTGAACGTCGAAAGAAACAAGAGCAAATGGAAGCAGAAGCCATTGCACTGGCAAAGCAAGAAATGGAAGCTCAAGCTGCACTGAAGGCATCTGCCAATGATGGCCCAGAGGCGAAAGAAGTCACACAGGTCCAGCCAAAGCAAGACTCGTTGGAAGTTGCATCCAATGCAATCCCAACAGGCGAAAATGAGGTCTTGGAAAAAGCTGCTCAAGATTCACCAGGAAGAAAACCAGCAACAGCTTTCAATCCACTTTCTGCTTTGTTTGCTTTCCAGAACAAGAAACCCGATGCTCGACCCAGCTCGGAAGAAGCAACGAAAGGCAAGAAAGGGGAAAGCAAAGTTGAAGCGACAGCTTTGGATACGACCAAAGGAGCTGGTTCTGGTTCAGGTTCAGATTCCACCTCCTCATCAAAAGCACAACCAGAGGTGGAGAGGAAGCAGCGAAGTGAAGAGCAAGAGGCCAAAATGAAGAAGAATGTCAAACTATTGGAGGAGGAAGCCATTGCGACTGCTACGAAAGAATGGGAGGCTTTGGCAGCGCAAGCTGCTGCAAAGCGTACAGCATTGGAAGAAAAAGTGGCCCCTTCTCCATTTGAGAAGCTTGAAGACGCAGCTGGCGATAAGATGACGGATGCAAAAATGGAGACAAAAGAGAAAGTCAGCAAGAGCAGTCCTTCTCAGACAAGACCAATCCGTCCTTTCTCAGGTTGGTTTCAAATCAAGCCGGTGGAAGCAAAGGGAAGTGCAGAGCAAGGAAAGGTTGAAATCACGACAAGTGATAGTCCTGCGGAAAACGGCAAAGCTACCGACAGGATCATGAATCCTTCCTTTTCATCTCCCAAAGCACGACGGGAGCAGAAACGAAACCAAAAAGCAGGTGAAGATGCTTCTTTGGACCAAAAAAGTAGTGCAACTTCTTTCAATCCTCTTTCAGCATTCTTTTCGTTTCAAGAGACACCAGATGCGAGTCCAAGCCCAGGAGAAGCAAAGCAAGTCCAAGTCGATGACAAGGACGAAATTCCCGCTTCGAATATGACCAAGGAAGACCTGACTGGACAAGACGCTCTTGATGCCACTTCTTCCAGTACGCCAGACGAAATAGAAGAGATCAAAACCCCATCACCGGCTATGAGCAAAGCAGAAGACAGTGAGGTTTCAGCAGAGATCGCTCCCAAGGAAGAAAAATCCAGCAAGCCCACGAAACCTTTCAACCCCTTCTCAGCTTGGATCGGCAAGCCTGCGACTGCCAAGCCATTCAATGAAGGTTCCACTTCGGCTGCTGTGGCTGGAAGAGAAAAGATTGGAATTGCCATCCCAGTTTCCGAAGGTGAAGGAAAGATTGCAAATCCTTCCTTTTCATCCCCTAAAGCACAGCGAGAAGAGGAGAGAAAGCGGCGACGTCAAGAGCAGGAAGCTGCAATGAAGAAGAGACAAAGTCAATTGGAAGAAGAAGCCATTGCTGCCGCCAAGAAGGAAAGGGAGATGCAGGCAGCACAGGCTGCAAGACTTCGGGCAATAGAAGAATCAGCAATGCCCAATGAGACAAAGAAGCAAGAAGAGGGAGAAGAAGACGAGACTGCGGAAGATGCTGATGTCACTGAGGAACAAAACGAGGAAACTGCGAAGAAAACAACGACGACATCATCGAAGTCAACGAATCCATTTCAAGCGTTCTTTCCATCAACACGCTGGTAGCTGTCGAACAGTCATTGCTGGTTAATCCATGTCACTGATTGATGGTCCGGCTGCATCTCCGTGCAGTCTTTGGACCAAACGTTTGACCACCGAAAACGTGCCGGTAGAGAGAGATGCAGAGATAACCATTCGATGGTCGTCGTCCCAACCACAGGGAAACCGAAGGAAACTGAGCAATGGCTCGGTGTCCGTACCTGTGGGTCTACCTCATCGGGGAAATCTAGGGGAGTGTGTTGAACTAGTAAGCCTTTGCACCGGCAACAATCAACCATCAATAGATACCTAGTTAAGTATCGCGTACAAGCCCCCTGACCATAACTCAATTCCCATAGTAGAAAGTCACATCAACGATGCAGCTTCTTTAGAATCTGATAACATGCGCCAGCTTTCAATGGGACCCACCGCCGACAAGACCGGCGCTGGCGCAATGGACTCGATGATGCCCTTGCCTTCGTAGCTTTGCCAACCGAAAACTTGGGAGACATATTCATTCGTCACTTGGCCAACATCAAGTTTGAACCCAGCATGATCGAAAAGCGAACAATTGCTTGCGACTGTGCTCTGCCTGGGGCGCTTCGTGGTGTGGGAGGCAGAAGGGTTGGTATTCATCTTTCTCTTGCGAGGGTACCGCCTCAGGTCCAGAGCTGCAATCATTGCTGCCTTTTAATGCCCCGCGGCATTCTATGGGTACTAACTTTGTTTGCTGTGTCAGAAGCTTCTACTATGTTTAGTTTGATTCATTCTAAGTCGATTATCTTTGGTTCATTTCAATACAGCGAATCACTCGATTCCTGTTGGGATGGGCCGAGCAACTCACACAAAAGAGAGGAGTATGATTTCCTTATTAGGCCTTGCGTGGCTTGACGATAATCTTGCCCTCTTCAATGACAACGTGTTCAATACCAGCAATCACAGCGCGAGCAGCCTTGGCATCCTCACAGTCCGCTTCCTCGTACAAGCTTTTCAACAAGTTCTCACGCTTCTCAATGTAATCCTGAGGTGCTTCCTGTCCGAAGAAGCTGCCCTTGGTCAAGAACAACTGCAACATGGTCTTGCCTTCGTCTTGCTTGTTCTTGGTGACCAACCACTGAAGTTGGGCAAAGTAGAGAGGACCATCGAACCAATCAGAGTGCTTGGCCGCAGTTTCCATCTCCATCTCGATCGAGTTGGTCTCCTCATTGAGCTTCATGTAGTCATGGCCAACAAAGTAACGATCTTTTCCTCCTGGAAGCATCCAGGTGGGGAAAGAGTATTCCTCCTTGATAATGTCCTTGTGGAGAGTGACCATGGCGTTTCCACGCAAGTAGTCGCTGTGGCCAATGAATCCGTTAATTTCATCTTGAGTTACAGTGAGATCTTCAGCGGGGTGTTCGCCAGCCACCAACTGATCCACAAAGAGTTTGACACGATCCTCCACGACTTGCAACTCCTCACCGGTCATGTCCACTACAGGAAAGTCAGGAGAAGGAGTAGTGACCGTGAAATGATCCACAAAGTCCTTCATCCAAAAGTAGCCGCCGACTCCGGCAGCGAGCGTCAAGGAGAAGAAGACAGTAGTGGTAATCAAGAGACACTTGCAGACGCAGGGCATGCGGAACGAACTCTTGGGAGTCGCCTTGGCTGTCACCAAAGGCTTCTTCATCTGTTCTTCGACATCTTCTTCATCGTCGACGAGTTTCTTGTACAATTCAGGGTCGTTGCTCATCTTGATTGTTGGTTTTGTTGTGGATCTCTTAAGATTGTTGTTGGTTATTGCTGTTGTTCTTTCTCTTGCGCGAGATTGTGACCAGCCAAAGGAAGGTCCTCATCGATGAATTTCACCAGCGACTTTGGATCGTGGAGCGCAGTCACGATCTCCTGCACGAGTTAAATCTTGCTTGAAGAACCATGCATCCTGTGTGCCTCAAGCTTTAGGAACTCAATTTTGGTAGTTGCGGTAAAATGAAATATAATCAATAGATAAATAAGAAAATTGTTTTACCAGATCTACTCAAATTGAATGATTCAATCGACTGTGACTCCACCCACGCAGCTTGCTGTTGGTCCGAAGAAGAATGAGGAAGAGGGTCTCCACCACCATGACGCATGCTGGCAACTGTACGATGTTACATGTACCGTACAGGTAATAGCTAGCAAAGACAGACAGGTTCTACTTCTATGTTGCTGACCTGAGCCGAGATTAGCAACTAAATTTGCGTGTTTTTCTCTATTTCGTTGTGCTTCCTTTTTGGGCCAAACTCGGACAATTACCTTTGCCCGTTGACAACAGTGGCGCATGCATGCATGGGTACTTTTTCTCTTTTGACATACTCGAATTTATCCAACTAATTCTAGGCACCGTTCAACACTAACTTGAATTACCTTTTACTTGCCGCCGCCGGTCACTCTCTTCTCATCTTTCCTTCTGCATTAACGTCATTTCCACAATCCCCCTGTAAACCGAAACAATGTATCGTCGTCATGAATGCTTCAATCTTGCACAATAGTTTAGTCCACCTTGACTGCGCCGTAGATCTTTCGACAGAAGAAGAAAGAGGCCAAGAAACCGACACTTCCGCAGAACAAACCAAAGCAAATGGAGATCATTCCCATGTAGGTCAAGTAGACAGTAATAGGCAAGACTCCGACCATATCCATACGGCTGGAAAGGAACCACAAACTGTACAGGAACAAGTAAACACCAGCGGTGGCGCAATTCCAGAAGGAAGTCCACCACCATCGGTAATCCTCAACACAGAGCTGCAAGTAGCACAGCACCATGGCAACTTGAGCACAGGTGGCAACCAAAATTGCCCACACAGCCAACAAGAAACCCATGACGTAGTAGATTTGGTGCAACCAAAGCGCAGACATGATAAAGGCCAGTTCAATGCAGACGGATCCAAAGGGAAGGATTCCACCCATCCAGCAAGAGACACGAGGGTCCACATGGAGAGGGACGGGGGGAATGACACGGGCAATTTGGTTGATTTTGGTGGGAATTTCAAAGACCTCTTGCTTCAACCCAAAGAAACTTCCGACCAACACAAGTGGTGTACTGACACAAACCCACAACAAGAAGAGTTTGATGATGGTGAAGAAGGAAACCGCGGTGGCAGCTCCGGCAAAGTGCAAAAAGACATTGAGGACCATGAACATGCCCACAAAGCATCCGGGGAGGCCAACAGCGGTGAGGATGGCATTTTGCTTCCATTCTTTGCCGCCCATAAACTTGTAGAAACGGGCACTGATGTATCCAGCAATCGATCCACTGAGCACGTAGAGGAAAATGATGGCACTCAGAGTTTGTCCCTTCTTCATTGGGTTCATCAAGTGCAGCGTGGAGCAGATCAGAGTCAAGAACATGGCAGCTCCAATCTGAGCTCCAGTTCCGGCAAAGATACTCAAGAGAAGGGGCGATGTCTGGGGAGGACGGAACACATCTCCATGAACCAGCTTCCATCCAGTCTCGTCTTGAGCCTCTGCAAAAATTAATTAAAAATTAATGAGAAAAAAATCAGAATATAATTCATCGCCACGTTGAGGACAACACCAAACAAACAAAAACTCACCCTCCAAAGTTTGCATTTCGTTGTAGAGCGCAATGTCCTTGCGCAGAGTGCGAACCATAATGGTCGAAACGGCGGCCGTCAAGAAGAGGACAATCATGAGGGAGTTGACAATACTGAAATAGTGAATGTCGTCATCGGGAGCTCCAATGAGGTAGACATCCCATCGATCAGTCCAGTCCGTGGCACTCTTGACGAACTCCACCTCGTACGACATGGCAATGCGGGTCGACTCGGGGGCGTCATCCGGCAAGGGCAGGTACGAATTGGGGTCGTTGTCAATGTGGTTGTGTTGACAAGAAGATCCTCGCTGGGTGTCGGTCTGCAACTTGTGGTCAAAGGAAACTGGGTGCACATCGAAACCGGTGATGCGAATAACGTCTTGACCTTCTTCCTCATCACCGACATCTTGGTAATGAATGACAAAATGGAAATGATTGTACAAGAACATTTCGCCAGTGTCCAACTCCTTGCGTCGTTGGCGCTTGGACTTTTGAGCCGCACCGGCGACGGGTGCTTTGAACCCAATGGGATAACCACGGGCGGCGTAGTTGTATTCCTTGGATCGCATCAGAACTGGCAAGGAATCCAAATTGAGCTGAATGCGGTATTGACGGGCCACCAATTTTCGGATACGGCGGATATTCTTGTTGGTCAAAGTGTTGACGCAGGAAATTTTACAAGGTTGATTTTCCAATGTCCTGATGGTGTAGGGGGCTGGTTCGACCTTGTGCCCTTGGAGACGAGAACCCAAATTTTGGCGTTCCATAATATTGCGCAACACGGATTTCTCGGCACTGGCGAATTTGGGAGCGTCGCAGTTCATGGGCAAATCGTAGTACTCGAAAGGAATGGGAGTCTTTTTGGATTCGGCCAAATCGGTCAAAATGAACAAAAGTTCACCGGATCGGTAGTTGTTGGGCGAGACTCCAGGAAAGAGGACTTGAGCCAGCGTGGTTTGTTTGCGGCGTAGAAGACCCTTGCGCTTTTTGTTTCGAAGACGATAATTTCGAAGAGCGGCGGCATCGGCCGTGTCGCTCACTTCGTCTTGTCCCTGTCGGCGCATTTCCACATAGCGGTCCTTTTCGGCTTGTTGAACCTGCTTGCGTTCCGTCCTCGACAACCGTTCACCACCCACCACCTTTTCGGCAGTCTTTTCGCTGAGTCCTGCACCGACCAACGTCTTGGTCAGGGCAACCTTTTCTTGGTCTGAGCGCTGGGCAAGCTTGGCTTCCACAGATGTTGTTGTCGAAAGGAACAACAACGCCACCAGAAAGGCGGTCCAAATTCGACAAGAGGAAGTCATCGTTAATTTATTAATCTGATACAAAAATAAATGCTCCGCCGGTGCAATCAGATATCTGCAGCCTTCTCGTAGCGAACGCAATCTACTGATCTACAGCGGACGAACACGACAATATACCACTCGAAGACACGAGTGTGAGAGGTGATGCGATTGGTCTTTTGCTTGGTGTTGCTTGGTTTTGGGTTAGCTAGATGATGCCACTGAAGGATATGGGCTTATTTGTGTCCATTGCCAATGCTATTTCTTGAGCATCTGACAATTCTGATCGCTGATCCAACCTGTGAGCGCGCATCGCCGCGGACTCAGACGGGTAAACCGCTAATGACCCGGCAAAAATCTTTCTAACTGGCGTTTAAAAATATTCGACTCGACTCGAGTCATCATTCGACGTGTTCGAATATGTTCCATTATCTGTTCGAAGACAGGCTCACATCCCAAACAACCTTATAGGAAGGGCGAGAGGCATCAATAGACACAGCAAACATGGAGGAAGACAAAGTCAAGAGGGGTTTAGACTGCTGTACTAACGTACTCGATCAGCACAAGCAAGCAAAAAGAAAAACAGATACTAGTTGTGACTTTGAGGCATCCACGAAAGATGCCTCGGAGGCACTTTTCCGTGCCTTGTGCGTCCTCGAGTCTCAGAAGAGCAACAGCAAGGCTGAAGCCATCCGGCTGCTCGAGGCTGCCTTGGGTCTACAGAAACAAGTGAATGAACTTGTTCAGAAATCATATACCCATCTCAGGCATGCCCCAGAAGACTCTGTTTTGAAGCATGAGGATACTTGGACCAAGGGGGTTCTTCCCTTTGTTGGGACTGGGGAATTTGCCTTTGTGGCACCAGTCAGCCACAACATGAAATGTCTTTACACAACATACTGTGAAACTCTGGAAGATCCCCCAACGGTGGTTGATGTTTCAACTAATACAAACCGCAAGGCAATGGTGATTGATATTGCAGCTAATACAAACCGCAAGGCAACCCCTTTGGATACTAACCAAGGTGCTATATTCTGCTCTGTACCCCGTGCAGAGTATTGGTTCACCCACCACCTAAAGACTGGCACTGGACATATCCCAGATATAGATGTCTGTGCAAAAGCTGCCAAAATGGGTAATCTTGGTGTCCTTCAATGGGCCCGGAAAAGGGGATTCCGTTGGGATTACCTAACATGCAAAAGAGCCGCTGAAAATGGTCACTTGACTGTGCTGAAATATGCTCATGAAAATGGGTGTGATTGGACTTCTCACACCTGCCTTGAAGCTGCCAGATATGGCCATCTAGATGTACTCAAATATGCCCATGAGAATGGCTGTCCATGGGATGAAAACACATGCACTAATGCTGCTCGGGGAGGCCATTTGGAATGTCTCAAATATGCCCACGAGAACGGCTGTCCATGGGATAAACATACATGCTCAGGTGCTGCCAGCTAATAGCCATCTGGATGTACTCAGATATGCCCATGACAATGACTGTCCGTGGACGCAATACACACATGCGCTGTGCTGCAAGCAATGGCCAATCTAGATGTACTCAGATATGCCCATGAAATGGCTGTACATGGTGAAGACACATGCTCTGAGCTGCCAGCAATGGTCATCTATATGTACTCAGATATGCCACGAAATGGCTGTCCGTGGACGAAGAATCACATGCAGGAATGCTGCAGCAATGGCATCTAGATGTCTCAGATATGCCCATGAGAATGGCTGTCATGGGATGAAGACACATGCTCTGATGCTGCCAGCAATGGCCATCTAGATGTACTCAGATATGCCCATGAGAATGGCTGTCCATGGGATGAAGACACATGCTCTGATGCTGCCAGCAATGGCCATCTAGATGTACTCAGATATGCCCATGAAAAGGACTGTCCGTGGGACCAATACACATGCGCTTGTGCTGCCAGCACTGGCAATCTAGATGTCCTCAAATATGCCATGAGAATGGCTGTCCATGGGATGAAAACACATGCTCAGGTGCTGCCAGCTCTGGCCATCTGGATGTACTCAGATATGCCCATGAAAATGGCTGTCCATGGGATGAAAACACATGCTCAGGTGCTGCCAGCTCTGGCCATCTGGATGTACTCAGATATGCCCATGAAAATGGCTGTCCATGGGATGAAAACACATGCTCTGTTGCTGCAGCATTTGGCCATCTAGATGGACTCAAATATGCCCATGAGAATGGCTGCCCATGGGATGAAAGAGATCAGGTTCGTGTAAGTGGTACTGGGCAGGTGTTGGCTTGAGTTCAAGACTTCTTATCTCAGAGGATTGATTAAATCATTTAGTGTCAAAATCTAGACTAGTCTTCAAAAATTCTCAGGGCAATGATTGGCCATTGTTGTGATGGGAATAAAGCTTGTCAACTTGGATCCGTCAACGTCCAAACCCTGGCTAGCTAGCTAGAGACTAGAGCAGGGAATTGCCAAGGCGGTCGGGCTACCGGTACCGTAGCTAGCGGTACAGCGTACCGGTATGATCCTTCTAAAGAATACCGACAGAGATCGATGTGTCCCTGTTTGGAGTCTACTACCTTTTATTGTTTACGTATGTATGGCACGAGGATGAACCTAAGCTACCTTCATTCGTTTCACAGCTTGTTCCTGGCCTTCTTCAGGCTCATCGCGAGATACAATGTATTTGATACAAGGCAGGTGAATGTCTGCTTCTTCGGCAGTCTGACAATGGACGTCCAACAGCACGTATTCACGCTTGCCATTGACGCGGTCGAAGTAGTCTTGCTTCTCTCCAGCTTCTTCAGGACGGTAGACATGGTGATACGCCTTCGAAACGGGACCAGTGAAGATGTTTTCAAAGGATTTCTTCGTCTTGTCCAACGCTGTCTTCACATTGTTGATCTGGTTTTCAAACACTTTCCTCTGCCCACTGGTGGCGGGTAGGCGACCCAGCATCTGCACAGCCATTCGAATCTGCGGCCATTGCGTAAAGACACCGTCGGAGACATGGGGCTTGCCTTGATCGTCGATTTGAATATCCCACTTGAGTTTTTGTTGGTCCACGGAATTGTAGAGTGCCTTATCGCTCGGGTTGCCGTGAGCAAACAAACGATCGACAGTCACGCCGAAGGTCTTTTGTACATAAGCGACGAGTTCCTCTACAGTCAATTCCTCGTCTTGACGGAAGGCCAACACAATTTTGTCCCATGAAGTAAACCTCTTGGGGCCTGTACTCAAGCCTGTTTTGACGACAACCGGAGGATCAGGGCTGAAGGTAGTGAAGTTGCCCGATCCTGCTGCCAAGTTGATATTGGAATTCAAAAATTTGTCACGACCCTGTGACTCCAGTCCCAACACCAGCTTGCAGAATTCAATGTCCACCAAACCGCAGACCATGGCAGTTGTGGTGGCCAAGGCTGGAATGATTCTCCCGGCCGTGACTTTGACTGCATGGCGCTGCGAAGCCTTGATGTCGTAGTTCCAAGCGCGCAGATTCGTTGAAATTGTGAGGAAATCAACATGAAAGTTGGAATCGTCGTCTTTCTCAAAGTCATGAGGATGCGCTGGTTTAAGTGTCGCAGGATCCACTTTGTAGAGCTCTGCTTTGAGCTTCTCGGCTTCCGCGGCTGCATCACCACTGTCCGCTTCATCGTCATTCTCGCTCAAGTCCACATTTTGCGAAGGCGCGGTCCAATCAGGTTGTTCCAGTTTCAAATCCGTCACGATTTTTTCAAAGGTTGCTCGGTCGCGGACTGGATCGAGGCCCCAGACAACGGCGTACATGTTGGCCGTGCAGTACAGGTACTCCATGAGCTCAGGCACAGGTTGCGTCCAATCAATCGGTCGGGGGCGGCGCTTGGTACCCGTCCAGAATTGCTTGCCGCTAGACTTTTCCATTACGTCGGCACTGTGGCAGAGATTCAGGACGGAATTTCGAAAGTCTTCCACAAGTCTGTGGAATGCGACTCGGATGCACGCTGCAAGGTCAATGCCGCCTCCGTCGCCCTTTTGTTGGAGTTCAATGTAGGCATGGATCATTTTCAAACTCTTCAACTGCTCGCCAGGCTCCATCGAATCGAGCTGTTCAAAGAATCCAGTCATGTCCTTGCGGAACGTTTCGTACTGATCCGGCCCGAATTCGAAATAATCGGAAAAATAGGCCTGCTTGGCGAATTCAATACAATGAAGGGGCAAAAATGGGAAGCTGCGTAGGGTACACATCGCAATTTGATTTTCATTCTCATCCGACTCCTTGCCGTCGTTGTAGGTTGACGTTCGGTAGGGCAGGATGACTTCATGGTTGCACTTGGTGCCCAGAGTCCCGCTTTCCAGAAGAGGTTTGGAGTAGAGGAGACATTGGCGATCCGTGTACTTTCGCGCCATGACGTTGTCCAGAGCATTCCAGCAAACGTGCAGCGCCTCCCAGAAGTCATCGTCAAAGAAATCTTCGCTGTCGGTGCCAACTCTCTTTTCCAGAGCCGTGATATTCATTTGCGGGTTCCATTCCTTCACGACACGAGCCCCACTGACCGATTTGGGCGATCCCACGTCCTTGTCTCGGAAGAGGAACTGACGAGACAGGTTGCTGACTTCGATTCGGTCCATGTCAGTAACATAGATTTTGCCTTGTCGACCCGTGGCCACTCCCATCAAGGACAGCCCCTTCAAGTACTCGCAGCCCAAAGCGCCACATCCCACCAAGAACACACGTTGATTGGCCATTTTGGCTTGAAAGTCCTTGCCCAAAATGGCAATTTGATGATCGTAGCGAGATCCGAACAGGGGACTGACGTTGGAGGTGTCATCGTCCTCGTCAATATGAACCAATGCAGGTTCATCGTGGTGAATCCACTGATTAATTGGCGTGTATTTGCCGGTTTTCTTCAACACCTCCTGAGCAGCCGCCCCTCCCAGAAACGCACACAATCCCGTCAATTCAGTACCAAATAGTTGAGCAAAGTGACGGATCTGGACTTCGTCCAAGTCCCGTGGTTCTCCTGTAGGAAATCCAAAAGATACTTGTTGGGCCCAGCAACCTCCATTTCCGCTCTCTTGTCGTTTTTTGGAGAGCTCTTGGACAATATCTACCAATTTCTGCCCGTCTTCCGTGGAATGAATGGCGGGCCATGCTTTGTGTCGTTGATAAAATTCCAATACTCCCGCCACAGAAAGGTGCAGCTCAATTCCCTTTCCAGCTTCCCAGTGATCTCCACGCAACATTTGCGGCACGGCTGGACTGGCCGATCCTTCCAACGTATCCACAAAACTGGAGTATTCCTTGTAGATGGGTGGTCTGACCTGCTGGAGCAAGCCTCCCGCTTGGTATCCAGTTTCCAAATCGGCCACACTCAATCCTTCTGGAAGCTTGTTGTGGTGCTCATCGTCTAGAATGACAGCCAATCGATTAAACATGGTGATGGTTCGCACGGGAAACTTTTTATCCTTGTTGGTTTCATCTTGCTCATGCTGCTGTAAGTAGTAGTTGTATTGTTTTTCGAAATTCTTCAAGACGGCCTTGGTGGGTTGTTTGAGAATTTCTTGAAAGGAGACATCTGCCGTCTGGACTTTGGCGGCGGTGGGGCTGCGAAATGCCACGCGCTGTATCTGAACGCGATGACCATTCCAGACTTCCAGTGGTCCCCTCAAATCGTCCAATAGAATCTTGTTGCCATCATCCAATCCATGATCTGACTGGGCCACAGTGAGGAGGACCACTGTGGATTTTTTGTCGATTCCTTCAATTTTGAGCAACTCTGGAATTTCGTCTCCCGACAGGACTTCCAAATTGGACAATGCCAGCAACCTCGTGGGCTCGCCAAACTCATCGGTGATTTCATGTTTGAGTCCAAAATCGGAAAACAGAGACGTGGAGACTCCATGATTGCATGCCAATAAAAAGGCGGCATTATTGTTGCGACAAACCTCATTGACTTGCGCCAGAGTCAATGAAGCGTCTCCTTGAAGAATGGACAAACTGGTCACAACGACCGCCGAGTAGGGTTTCCCCGTGGCAACCGATTCCACCAAGACTTTTTCCGTAATGGCTTCTTCTTCGAGCACTTGGACCTTGCAAAAGGGATTCAACGTTTTGAGATCGCCCATACACGCCTTGGCTCTCGCCATTCCCACATGGTTGGCATGCAAATAAAAGTTGGTTCCAAGATCGGCCATTTGGGTCGGATTGGGATCCCACAACGTCACACTGCCCACATTGCTCAATATCAAATTCTTGGCCGTCTCCACACCTACACCCTGAGCACCCAAGATCAACACATTCAAGTCCTTGATGCGAGCCACACTCTCGGCTCCAAACGCCGCTTTCTGACGATCAATGCGCTCCGTCTCTTCGTCAATTTCAGTCTTCCAGCTCTGCAACCAAGAGCCCCAACTCACTTCCGTAGTGCCAGTCATCTTTTGCTAAATTGGTTCTATTACTACTTTTTTGATTCTCCTTCTTGTGATATGTTCTGTGACGAGATGTTTGTTTACCGCACGAACGTCCTTGTTTGCTTTGCTTTGCCTTCCGTGTTGTGCTTTTCCGACTGTGTTGCGGGCATGCAACGGCTCGTCGCCGACGATCTTTTCTTTTGGATCTTGGATGGATGCGCGATGGTCCGCGCAAGCAAGAATAGCAATAATAATGCTGCTTTCCAAGTCAGTTCTCGTCGGCATCCCTTTGAGAAGCTCCGGACACACTGAAACTGTTCTGGATTTCGCAATGCGGCAGCATCAATTGATCCAGCACGAGTCGAGTCGCCTGATACCTAGCTAGCTACCGTAGCTAGCTACTACTACGGTGTCTTTGGGATTCCCTTCTCTTCATCATTAGAGTTCTCAAGACGTCTCGATTTGGATTTCTACATTATCATGAGGTTGTTCCAAAGCGCACCACACGTACCGGCCACAAAATACATACATGTAGATTGCCCCTTGCATTTTGTTTGACAAAAACAAAAAGAAAAGAAGTGACATTCAACAATGAGCGGCAGCAAAGAATCCAGCACATCCTGGCTCCTGAAGAAGGATCCCAGCACTGGGATGGGCCCCATGTCCTTTTATGGTCGTTGTATGGGCGGCGGAGCCTTGGCCTGTGGCATTACCCATGCATCGGTTGTCACGCTGGATGTTGCCAAGTGTCGATCGCAAGCCCACAGCCAGTGGCCCTCCGGGCTAGTTCCTAGTATCCGAAGGACTTGGGTCGAAGAAGGAATGCGAGGCATTACCAAGGGGTGGGTCCCCACCTTGTAAGTCTTGTAAGCTTGAAAAGTGCTGCTGCATTGCATGCATTGTGAGCTCTTTCTCACTCCTTGTGCGTCTTTCTCTTTCTCTGCTTGCTTGCTGACAAACCAAATGTTACCGGTATATTAGTTACGGATATAGTGCGCAAGGACTGTGCAAGTTTGGCCTCAACGAGGTCTTCAAGGACTATTACACACACCTCTACGGGGCAGAGAACCTCGATTCCACTCCAAAAAAGATGCTCTTGTGGGCATTGGCTAGTGGGTCCGCAGAAATCTTTGCCGATGTGGCTCTCTGTCCCTTTGAAATGACAAAGGTCAAAATGCAAGTTACCCTCCCTGGCATGAAGGATGGCGTATCGGATAGTCTTTTGCCAGCGTTTCGAGACATGAATGCTCGCAAGGCCGAAACAAAGTTCCCCTTTGGAAGTTTGCAACCACTCTGGTTTAGACAAGTCCCCTACACCATGATCAAGTTTGTAGGATTCTATCAGACACAAAACATGGTCTACGAGGAGATTTTTCGTCGCTCGGGAAAGCGCAAAGAAGACTTTAGTGCCCCCTCCCAATTGGCAATCACGTTTGGTTGTGGGTATTTCGCCGGAATATTTTGCGCCATTGTGACACAGCCAGCGGATAATCTCGTCTCCATGAAGGGAAGCGCCGAGAATGCCAACAAGAGTTTTTCGGAACTGGCCAAACAGATGGGAACTAGAGATCTGTTCCTCCGCGGGCTAACTACTCGAATCTTGATGATTGGAACCCTTACGGGCTTACAATGGTGGATCTATGGAGCTTGGAAGAACATGTTCGGCCTGGGTACATCCTAGCTAGATGCCAGCGAGAAGGCGGACACAGAACTGGTTCAGTTTTCCTGTCAACAGCGCCTTGTGCGAGCATGGAAACACAAAACAGTACAACTTCACGTGGTCTAGTTTGAAAAGGTAGCTTTAGCTAATGATACCCTTACTTTTGGTGTTTCCATTCTACCTGGCACCTGGTTTTACGTACTATACCTGGCACTTGGCGTTATGAGCGGTCCAAAGCATCCTCAGAGGTCTTGGAGATATCAAACATCAAACACAATTCAGGAAAACAGTCTCAATCCGTGGAAAGGGCAGCGCATCCATGCTTCTCACAAACCAAGGTCAAATGCAATGTTTGATGGTGTGCCCAGTGCCCAGTGCACAAACATGAAGTTCATCAATGGCTGGGTACTGGGTACATCAGCACTGCAATGCATGGTACCTCTGGCCCAACGCCAACTCCTGGTACTCCCGGCCCAACACCCACCACTGGAACGCCGATACCGGTACCAACTCCTACCACTGAAGAGTCTACCGTACACCAGGACCAACGACGACTTCGGGTACCATACCCCTGGCCCAACACAACCACCGGAACCCCCGACCAACTCATGCCACTTTTAAGAGGTGTATACCGGTACAGTCGTACCGGTACTAGGAGAGAGGGCTATTGTGGCCTGTCTCATAGGTACGGTATTCTCTCGCGTTCGTGACAAAAGCTGACGTGTCCCTCCCTTGTTCTCGCCAAATTTTAATTTTCTCACTCTTCACTTTCTCGCTTCGCCACTTCCATGGGCCACAACTCTCTTGCCAAACGGGAAACTTTGGGTCTCTTTACAGCTAATAAGATGACGATGATGAGCCCTAGCCATCGAACTCGGCTGTTCCTCTTCGTATCAGGAAGTCTTTCCTGCTGCGTTGGTTCTTTTAGCTTCCCTTCTAGAGGATTCCAAAACCCGCGTACCGCCAGCTCTGCTGTTCGTCTTGTTAGTGGTTCCTTGCGATTGGCGCCTGACAACTTTCTCGAGAGCAGCTTTCCCGAGCGACGGGCACAACCAGATGTCGCAGCTCAGCGTGATTTCCAGCCGCAGCCTCCTCGCCCCGTCTTCAATGAAGATCCTGGGCAACCATTGGCACGAATTCAACAACAACAACCACAAGTCGAACAAACCAGACCACCATTTGCGACCGAGTCTCCATCACATCCTCCTACCGATACAAAAATGGTAGGCCTACAACCAGATCAACGACCCGACTTTGTAGGCTTGCAACCAGACCAAGAGCTGTTTCAAGATTGGAACCAAAATGATATGAGTATGAGCGCCTCTTCAACACAATCCAGCACCTCGACGGTTCAAGGAAACTCTCGAAAGACTTGGTCGTCTCTGCCCCCTCAAACCAGCGTGCAAGTGAGCTCCGAGGGCCGTCCTGTCTCGGCCAACGTAGAAGTTTGGCAAGGCCCCAACAATGTTCCCTCCAAAATGAAGATTTACAGCGAAGATGGCGCCATGAGACCCTGGAATGCTGCATTCGCCACCGTGTCAACCAACGGTGGAAGTCCTTCTCTGGATGTAAAGAACACGGGTCAACTGGAGTACCCCACCACCGTGACTGTCAGCAACAATAACCCACCTATCAACAACAATCAGCACTATCAACAGCAGCAGCAACAACAAGATGGCTCCAGCACCGACAACAGAGACACAGTCGAAAGAAGCAACCTCCGTGACAATAATGGCTCCTATTCTTTGCGAGGCCTCGGTCAAACCGAAACCATTCACAGTGACAACTTGGGATACTTTTCGCTAAGCGGCAACACCGAACGGGTAGCTGTCGAAGTATATTCAGAGGGCCTACCCATCTACGCTACTGTGGAATTATGGCAAGGTCCAGGGAATATGAAACAAGTGGCTGAAATATATTCGGACAATGGCTTGACGAGACCGTGGCAAGCTACCATCGAAACACCTGGATACGAATGTACATTAGCCATCAATAATGTTGGCCCCATGGTGTATCCTTTGACTGCTAGTGTGGTACCACTGTAAATAATTAGTAACTGCGAGCTAGTAGGTTTTTACCATCGTGTTCCCCATCACAGGGTCGTTCGAGCAAGGAAAAGGCCAGAGCTTTGTGTGAACCGAATCTAAGCTCTTGTTGCCGGCATAATTTTAGTATGGTGCCTCTTGAGAGTCAAACCGGGGACGAAAGATCGACAATGTTGCAGGGATGTATGTATAGCGTTTCGACGCCATTAGGCTAGTAACTTGCACTCCCGCTGCGCACTACGGGACGGTGCGGAATACACATTTTTCTATGACTGATAATATATAATATTTGTAACAGGTGGTCGGTCTCTGAAGTCAAGGTTTGCTTGTGCAGAGCCAGAAAGTAAAGATCTGGAACTCGTCAAGCCAAATTCTGGAGTCTTGCGTTGCCCTTTCAATGGCTTGGCTGACATAGATCCTTGATCTAATCTCAGAGATGTTTCGAAGGTGATCAGGGTGGGCGTATCCATGCCATGCTTTCTGAGCCGTGACAACTGCATTGGTTGTTTCCTTTCTTGCGATACGCTTCTGCATCCTTCTAGATTTGGATAGCGTCGAGCTTTCGAGGCCACGAATGCAGAATTGGGACGGGAGTTTGGTAGGTTGCCGTCCCACTTGATGATACGCTAGGATGCACAGTTTGCATTCCATCCAGATCTTTTGCATCTCCTCTTTAGTGTACCACTTTGCATGCAGCTCATCTTCTTCAGCTTCATCTTGATAGGTAAGGACAGTGGGGCAAGGAGCAAATGAAACTCGTCTATGCGAAGTCAACAGCTTCTTTTCTGGTCGCATGGACTCGGGCTCTGGAACCAGTTCTATGGGATCCATCGCGAAGGGAGGTATCATTTCAGCGTGATATGGAAAGGATCTTTGATAATGTTTTTGAGGAAATTACTGTTAGTATACTTGCAATTGTGAGTCGATCCCATTCTCTCATGTGGACAGGAGCTGCTTGGGAGCTGGAAGCTCAAGGACAGCCACAGTACATGCCAGAGGTTTTTTTGCACTACTGTACTGAGAGCTCTACTCAATGTGATTGAAGATCCAGCGCCAACGGTACAGCTGTACCATGAGTACCCCTCACAAGGTCACAAGGTGAAAGTATTTGCTAACGTATGGCAGATTATTTAAAAGCAGCTGAAGTGGTCTGGAGTTTTGTCTTGGCGAGAAATCATCGCCCCTTAAAAGTTGAGCCTCCAAACCCGCTTATGCTGTCGGCCCTTTATCTCCGTCACCGTAGTCAACACAATGACACCTCTTGCTGCGGGAGAAAAAAACCGTGACTGGCCCAATCAAGTCGTTGGTCGTAAAAGTCCGTAAAGGCTCCCAGAATCTGCTGCCTTAAAGAGCGGCAACCGGTACTAGCTCGCAGTCTTTGCACAGGGGAAGGGTCTACATAATACACCCACGGCAACTTCCACAAGAGCATGTTGCCATGTTGCCATGGCTATGCTGTGATGCTTGACTATTTAGCGGTCTGTTCTGTTCTTGGCTGTGGGTGATTAAAGAAGGGGGGGTCCTCTTGTTCAAGGCCACCGGTACCTGCACCGTAAAGCACAAGATTTGCCAGGTTTGGCAACGGAAGATGCCACCGGTAGCTAGGACCCGGGTTGCTGGCCTCCACCAGATCAAAGGGAACGAGAAGAGGGTTCTGCACACCAGCCAGCTCTTCCATCTTTTCCTGCCTTGTCCCTCGAGCCTCGAGGAAGCTGCCACCGGTAGTGGTGCATCGGTATACCGGTACTAGCTTGCTCTTCGCTGACAACGAATTGCCACTTACCGGTACCAGAGGGGCTTTGCCGCGAGAACCAACGGCCTTTTCGGGTGGGAGTTTGCATCCATATTCTGAACGGACGGGGGGCTTTCTTATGCGGAGGACACGTCTCCGGTTAGAGGTAGTTAGAGGAAGACGCAACAAACAAACAGCAGCTGTAGGTGGGTGGGGTATCTCCTGTCGTCAGCTACTTCATGGCTGTGTCCAAGCATTGGGGTCAATGGATGCGTAGTTTCCTCCGTTTGCGTTCCAATGAACCAAGACGCTGGAACAACCGAAAGTATTTGCAAGGAGGCATCACACCGGTACCAGGTACGCCACACTACTATGAGATCGCACCTGTCCGTCTTTCCGCTTTGGCTGAATGACGGCCTGCAGGTTAGGATCAGGTCCAATTAGATGATCGAATTAGATTACTTGTTTTGCACAAAAGTTGTTGCTGATGCCACGTGAAATACACACTGCAGTAGATGGCACAATGGAAACAAAATACGAAAATATGGAGGTGCTATTTTACAGGAGATTGAAATGTTTAAGACTAAAGAGAACAATGGCAGGAATCCATGGGCAGAAAGAATTGCTGGATCTCCAGAGACTCCGCCAGCCTCACGAAATTGACCCATCCACCACATCTGAGCACATATGGTGGAACACCTTGGTCAGTATTGACTTCATTGGTGGACCCAAAATGTGAAGACCATCACCTTGTGCTGCAGTGTCATGCGAAAAGGCAGCAGAGGGCTCAAAGGCATTGATCATCTTGTACCCCTTCGGTGTCAGAATTGAATCCATGACTTCAATCAATCTGCGGGCTCTTTCAACCTGAACATATGGTTCTCGCTCACTGGTGACAAAGAAACCAGAAACCCAGTAGTGCTCCTTCTTCGAAGGGTCTACGCTAGGGAAATGGCTCAGATTTTCAATCCAATCGTCCTCACTCTCATGCCACAGCAAATGCGGCCACTTCAGTGTGTCCACAACAACCTCTATGGTCCCACTCTTGTCTAGTGTTGTGTTTGCGAGGCGTACATTGAGGTATTTCTTCATCATGCCTGAAATGGATGCTCCTTTTGTTTGGATCGAGGATATTCTTCTCTTGGTCAGGCATGTTTGGAGCTGGTTGTTGGTGAATTCCAAGTAGTTACAGTCATAGTTTCTCCACACACCCATCCAGTCAGTTTGTTGGTGTAGTTTGGAAGCCTCCCACTTGGAAGCAGTGGTAATGAGCTTACAGTTTGGTTCACCACAGTTGTTTCGGACATCACTCAGGTCATCTCGGTGCCAGCAATGGGGGAAGTCACCATTGTGAGCTGTAATCTGGAACACTCTTTGTCGTGGAAAAGGGCAGACAGATGTGTCTGATGCATTCTGGATCATCCATCGTCCACTTGGGCGGCCATCATTTCGGAACAATGCTTCATGAGATGCTTGGCACAAAGGAAGCTTGTGCTTTCCCTTTTGCGTCACACCAGTTGCTTCAAACGATGGGTTCACCAAGTACACTTGGTCATCTAAATCTCCTGAGAGACAAGGAAAGTCAAGTGTGAAATGGTAACTCCACCCACAGCCCAGGAAGTAGGATGTCTCTGTGTTGTTGCTCTCAGGGGTGCCAAGTGCATCAAGTACATTTTTGTGAAGCCTCCTTTGGGTCTGCGACACTCTCGCTTCAGCCAGCATGTGACTTCTGGGAATGTCGTTTGATTCCACCAAGGAGGTATTGTAATAGAGCTCACATCCATTCCGGACCCGGCTAGCTTCAAAATCTCTTGGAGGGGTGCTCCATTGTATGCAACCTTCTGTCCGTCTGCAGATCTCACAACAGGCAGTTATTGGAGAATAGAACTTGAAGCCAATGAACCCATTGTGATGACCCAGTCCATCCCCAGGAGGAACTTGGTTCATCTGGACATTTGGACACTGACTGCCTTCTGTAATCTCTTTGCCATCAGGAAGCTTTCCCACAGGTGAGCGATAGAAATGAACAGGAGCCATTCCATTCCACAGCAGAATTTTAATATCAATGTCATAGCTGCCTTGCTTCTGGACATCAAATGAAAATTCCCAATGGCAAGAATGCCCAGGCACTGCTGAAACTACAGTAGGGGATCCTGCAAAAATTTCTGGTCCACTGACACGCACCCACATTGTCAACAGGTGACAGTTTTGAAAACTTAATTGTGTCTTCTCGTGAACGTTCCAGATCTTCACATTGTTCTGGCCCAATTTAACTGACTTTCCTGGTCCTTCTGCTGCTAGGACAATGTCGTGATAGGTATACAAATAACCATGTCCACGAAGTTTCCATTGGTTGGCTATTGGTAGTTCTGCTTCATGATGTTGATAGGCAAGTTTCCGGTCCAACACAAAGCGCACTGCATCCTTCATAGTCTTCTTTTGAGGCAGCACTGGCTTCTTCTGTGGTGTCCAAGCCTTTTGCTGTTTTGGAACCTCCAATTGAGACCCAATCTCAGCAGGATTTGTCTGTGGATTTGCTGTTGGTGAAGCTTTTAGTAATTGGGTTGGCTCCACTTGAGGATCAGCTAGCTTTTGTTCAAGCTTTGGCACTTCTGGCTCATCTGGCTGTTTTTCTCTGATGGGGTAAACCTTCCCTCCCACAAACCCAGAGCACATGTGATGGAAAATCTTGGTGAAAATGGCCTTCATAGGTGGCCCAATGATGTGCAACCCATCTCCTTGGCCAGCTGTGTCAAATGCAAAGGCAGCAGAAAGGTCATATGCATTGATCATTTTGTAGCCCTTTGGCGTCAGTATTGTCTGGGCAAGATGGGCCAGCTTCTCTGCTCTGGCTACATGCACATATGGTTCTCGCTCACTGGCCACAAAGAAGCTTGTAACCCAGTAGTGTTCTTCTTTGGTGATATTTACATCCGGCAAACCCCGAAGTGTATCCTCCCATTCATCTTCGCCTTGGTGCCAAAGAAGGTGGGGCCAGCGAAGGCTATCAATCACAACTGAACGCAAGCCGTCGTGGCTGTATCCAGGTGCTGGTTGGGTGAAGTTTAAGCTTGCCGTTCGGACTTGAAGGTACTGATTCATCATGGCAGCAATGCTGACCCCAGAAGTTGAAATGGAGCTTATCTTGCGCTCTGTGATGCATTGCTGCAACTGGTCATTGGTAAATTCGTTGTACTCACACTCATAGCTTCTCCAAGATCCCATCCACTCTGCTTCCTGATGAAGTGAAGATGATTCCCATTTTGAGTCAACAGGAATGAGCCGACAGTTGGCTTCTGCACACTTCTGTCTGGCTAGAGATAAGTCATCCCTGTGCCAGCAGTGAGGATGAGCACCATCAAATGCTGTGATTTCGAACATGCCTTTGAAAGATTGATCTACTTGCCGAGGGTATGGGCACATCTTTTGGCTCGGCCAATGCTCACGAACCCATCGCCCACTTGGTAGGTCGTCATCGCGGAAAACTTCATGATTCAGTTGGCACAGAGGAAGGCTTTCTTGAACTACGTCAGGCTGAGCTTGGACTTCTCCAAGCTCTAGCATCTGGTGCTCAACCACAAACGTGCGATTGATCATGAAGATGTGATCGTCCAAATCCCCCGAAAGGCATGGGAAGTCAAGCGAAAAATGAAAACTCCAGCCACAGCCCAAGAACTGAGCAACCTCTGTGTTGGCACTTATTGGGCTTCCTGAAGCGAGTAAGTGGTCGTTCAAGCGGCGGCGGTGTTGCTCCTGATGGATTCCAGCTTCTGCTAGCATGCGGCTTGTCGGAATTTCTTCAGATGGCACCAGTGTCTTGTTGTAGTACAACTCACATCCATTCCTGGCTAAGCTGGGTTCCAGGCCATTAGGAGGTGTTGTCCAGTGGTTGCAGCCTTCTACTCTTCGGCAGATTTCACAGCAAGCCGAGAGCGGGGAGTAGAACTTAAATCCTATGAATCCGTTGTGGTGCGACGCCTCCACGACATCTGAAGGTGCGTCCCGGTCCATCTTTGTATCAGGACACTGGTTGCTTTGTCCCGTGGACTTGCCATTTGAAGACTGCCGAACATCTGTCATCTTCACAGGGGCTAATCCATTCCACAGGAGCATTTTGGCGTCCACTTCGTAGATTCCTTCGTTTTGGATGTCAAACTCAAACTCCCAATGACATGCTTGGTCCTTCGACACTTCAACGACACTTGGGCTCCCAGCAAAAATCTCAGGTCCACTCACTCTTACCCAAAGTGTCAGCAGATGGCAATCCTGAAAGTTGCGAGCAGTTCGCCTGTGTACATTCCAGATCTTAACCAGATTTCGCCCTTTTCTGGTTGGCTGTTGTGGAGACTCGGCTGCCAGCACAATGCTTTGATATTTGTATAAGTATCCATGCCCCCTGAGCTTCCATTGATTGGCAATGGAAACCCCTGCTCCCTTGTATTCCTGGTATGCCTGTCGTCGACTCATTACAAACTCGACGGCTCCTGACACCGTTTCCAGTTGGGGAAGTTCTTGCTTCCGGGGATTCTGGCTGTCACTCCTCTTGACAGGATATGAACGGCTACTGGCGTATCCTCCATAGGCCCCCGATGCCGAGCTACCAATCGATGCGCGCAAACTCGTCGTTGCAATGTCGAGATATCGGGAATTGGAGCCATCAAGTTCCCACAGGAGCGACAGCATGGGTAGTATCAAGGCAACAGATACCACAAAGGCTCGCTTTCGAGTCATCTTGGAGATGACATCTTTGCACAAGACAAACATCGTTGGAAAGGTCGATCTTGTCCTTGACTGAGTCGAGTATCCAATTCGCCGTCGAGCTGTGGAGTCGAAGTTTCTGACGTAGATTCTTTTGTCAAGCAATCTACCAGCCGTGCTTTGCTAGCTGTTCTTTGCTAGCTGCCCTTCTTGCTTCCAATGGAATGGATGGATCAGTTGCAGTCAACAAGTTTGGTATTTTTCGTGGTTCCTTTTCTCGCACAAAATATACGGCGGAAATTTGACCTTGGCTCAGTCCAAGAGGTGCGCTCTGCCAAGAGGACAACAAAAGAGTGAGAAAGGGCGAACCACATCGTTTTTCCCCCATGGTCGGATCGTCGAACTAAACAACACAACAACACTAAGAGATGCAACACTTACTGATGCCTGGACTTGACTCGACTAGTCTTAAAAAATGAGAGGAACGAAGGATCCAACTTGTGCATGTAAAAAGCACATAAGTTTCACATCACCATGGTCCATTGGGCTAGCCCAATGATGCGATATCCAGGGAGAGGTCATTGCCGAGGATCCCAACTGAAGATTTAGGCAAAATGAAAACATGAGTGAAAAGAGTGAAAATGAAGCTTTGTTATGGTCAAAATGGGTCATGATACAAGACCCACGCACATGCCAGCCATGGTGAGAGGCCGGGCCAGACAAAATTTTCAGACCGAACGTCCTCGGATTGGGTTTTCTTTCGCATTGCCCAGTTCCATTTACCGGCACCATGACGGATCAAGCCGTGACAGACACCCCGCATCCATCCAAAAAGCCAAGGTGCTTTAGCAGTTTCCTTCGAATTTTGTGTGGCGTGGTGTTTGTGCGATTTGTCCTTTCACCGAATGACTTTTCCGTGGGCGATCTGGGAAACCAGTGGATTAATGAAAGACGCGTGCTTCATCTGCAGGTCTCCAATTCTTCGCTCGGTCTGGCAATCAGCTATGGAGCACATGGAAACTCAAGTGTACCCGTGCCTCCAGTTGTACAAACAACGAACCCGCCGACACCGACACAGCCACGACCGTTCCAAGGGACCAAGATTACTCCCATATCAGAGGGTATGGATCTACTGGAGAACGTGTGTTTGGTCAAGGGAAGCCGGAGGCAGACCAACCAGCTGATCTCCTTCGGACCAAAGGCAGAACAAATGACGACTTCTGTCCACAAGTACAAGCGTCCAGGATGGTCTATTTTTACTGCTGTTACCGTTGGACACAATCTTTCCGAATGGGAAACCAAAACTCAACAATACCCTCTCATTCGCAACGAAACTCTGTTCACACTGGAAATTTGGGCGAATCCAGGACACTGTCTCAATGACTTGGTTTACTCGATTGCTTTAGATGCAACACAGCGACAGTTGCACCCGGATGGGAACTCTCCCATCTACCCCAACTATCTACTTTCATACTTCAAGGGAATTGGCGGTGGGCATGGTGAAAATAATGCAGATCCTGCCTGGTGCCATTCATTTCTACGTGATGCTGGATTCATAGATACTCAAAGAGGTCCTGTGTATGACGATGCACCGGGATTATGCTTTGAAAGGTTGCTGATGCCACTCATTGCCGTGCACAGGTTCCCGATTGACTGGAAAAATCCAGAAGCAAGGGCGGACGTTGCAGCATCTCATGGTGTAGACTTGGGAATGAAAGAGTACACTGGAGAAGGGACCATGTATCCAGTGGAAGCTCTAGCGAAGCTGCATGAACGTGTCATGCACTTCAGAAACTTTACTACCACCCCGTGGGACGACCAACCATCGGGAGAAGAGGATGTCCCGGTGCTATTGTACACACGTGAAGGCAATCCACGCAGGCACTGGACGAATGCAGACGAAGTCAAGATTGCTCTGGAACGAGACTATCGCGTCCGTGTGCACACGGTTGGAGCTGACTGGAAAACTCTGTCGCCCCCTGAACAAGCACAGCTATACCACAATTTCTCTCGCATCATTGCTGTTCACGGAGCGCATTTGGCAAATCTATTTTACTGTCGAAACAATACTCGTATCGTCGAGCTCAAATGTGGCCGTGCCAACCCAGAAGCAAAGCTTTCACTTGAAGAAGAGCCCCCCGCAAACAGCACTGAACCTTCGTCTGATTGGTACGGTCAACGGGGATGGTTTACCAGCGCTACACGACGTGTGGGGTTGGAGCACTTTGTTTTTGCAGAACACAGTGTGCCGCATCAGAGTGTTAATTCCTTCAATGCGACGACATCATTGTTGGTGCCATTCTTGGCATCACGGCTGCATCTGGTACCTCGTGGAAACCGTGATCCGTGGCAAACGACTTTGTCATAGGGGAGCTCTTGAAGCAGTGTCCGAAAGGGCGCATTGTAGAATTTAGTCCACGGTTAGTGTAAATGGATTGTCGCTGTACCGGTATAGTTATTTCAACTCGTCCAGCAAAGCAGCGGCGACCAGCTTTCCGCAGCGGACGGTTGCTCTGTATTTGAAAGAGAGTGAGTGAATTGTGCGATGCCTTGATGGGCAAACTAGGAAAGCTTTGGAGTGACGGGAATTATTCCGACAATCCCGCAGCATCCACCTTTCGGCTATTAAAATCCATCAAGCATGCAAGACCATGTGTTTTCTTCTTGATATATTTATGTGTCGTTATCTTAGTCCTATTCATTTCTCCATGTTTCTCATATTATTCATCGTGTTGATTGTGGCAACAGAAAAGCTCCTCTCGCGTCAAGCAAGCAACAAGAAAAGATGCAACCTAAGCTTATTGGGAACGGTCAGCAGCAGCCTTCTGCTTCAACCATTCCTCATGGTCCACACCAAGTCCTTCATGGTATGCAACAGCATAGTAGGGGTTTCTTGTACCAACCACTGCTACAACAGGGGTGACCTTTTCACTTCCCCATGTCTGCATTTCTGTGTGCTTCGCAGATGGAGAAATGCGGAGATCCTTGTAGTATGTCAAGGCGTGCAAGCCCATTCCTGTCATGAAAGTCAAAGCACATCCCATAATCACAATGATGGGGTATGTGGATGGATCACTGAGCCAGTTGGCCTTGAATCCCTTGTCCAAGTTGGCCCTCAGCTGAGGTGGGACAGCACTTTGCGGAGACAGATTGTGCACTCCTTGCGCAGGTCCCGCGGCAGTGGATTGAGCCCTTCGCATGGCAGCAATGGTTGCACGTTGGATGACAGGACGGAATGAATTCATCTTGATTGGGTTTTCTTTTTCTTTTTGGTTGTTTTTGGATGCTTGGGTTGCTTTTGCTTGTTATCGTTTTTGTTCTTGATTTTGTGAGGATACGGTAGGTTCCTTCGGAGTTCCGAAGAGCGATGTTCTCATTTTGAAAGTGTTCTCTTGCTGGGTTCGCATTCCGCTTTGCTAGTGATCACCTACAATTCACAATGGAAATCTGGGCAGCTAGTGATACTCAACCAATTACTCATCCAATCATCGACAAAAAAGCACCAGTACAAGTCAACACAGCAACACACTTCCCATACCTAGATCTGGATCTGTACTGGCAAAATCAACAGAATCTCCAATTCAAAGTTCACCTGAAACCCAACCAACAACTCCTTTACCTCAACAAAGGCAGCTCCCACACATCAACCTGCTTCGATTCCATTCCCAGAGGAGTGTGTCACAGGTTAGCAAAGCTCACTACAGTCACAGAAGATAATGCAGATACATCACTCCAAGATCTGTACCCTGACCACTTTGCAGCTTTGAAACATGCCAACCTCATCAACAAGCACACAATGCCAAAGATTCCCACCCTTCGAGAAGCCAATCACATCTTCAAACCCAAATCTCCAACAAACCGGCAACTCCAACAAAAGAAACGAGATGCTAGAAGAACAACATACTTTTGCATTGGCTACTCCAAAGCTTGGACAACTCCCATTTGGAAAGTGATTCAGAACCTCATCCAAAACAAGTATCCAACCCTCAAATGGATTAGACCTGCAATGTCATACCACAGATTCACCAACCTGCGAGAAATTTTCAATGGAGACATTATGACCAAGCTCAATACTGGAATTGTCTCCCTTGACTTTACAACCCGCCCATGCAACTGCACCAACCGTTTGACAGATGGATGTGCCTACAACAACCACTGCAGAAAACCCATTGTCATCTATGAAGCAACAAGCACCCAACCTCCCAATACTGCATCCAGCCCCAAATCCTACATCGGCGCCACACAAAACTTCCTCAAGCTCAGAATGTCATCACATGTCAGTGAAACAAAACGCCTATGCCAATTCCTACGCGGCAAAAAACACAAACCCAAGAACTCGGACACCTTTGCTTGGCACTTTGCTGCCAAAGCAGTGGCAACCACCACAGGAGACCCCACAGCATCTGACATTCGGAAACTCTACAACCTCAAAATACTGTGGCAGGGCAACCCCTTGTCCACAGTCAAAACGTTCGGGACAAATGACTGCATTCTATGTAATCAAGAACGGCTTCACATCTTCAAACGTATGAGAAACAAACCTTCTACACTTCTCAACAGATGTGAAGAACTATTTAATACATGCCGTCACAAACCACGGTTCCACCGGTTCACCCATGCAACCCCAGTGAGCAGTACTGATGAGCCCTCAATGGGCGAAAAAGTGCCAACAACCATTGATGTTTAACACCAATGGTGTGTGTGAATGCAATCGATATAATCCATAGAAATAGTACCACAGAGTCAACCCATCAAGCCACAGTTCTGTTGCCTCGTGCCACTCGGCACCAGAACTCCAGCCTGAAGGCTTGTCTCTGTCAATCCCAGTAAATTATATTTAGAATACTCACTTTTTGCTGCAATTGATAAACTTAATTAAAGCCAAATAATTCATGAGTCCAACCTCATTCTACAGGCTGAATGATCAATCTAAACTATCGAGACAAACGCAAGCCCGCTCCCGGTACGACATTCCCATGCGAGCCGGAACTTCCAGGAACGTTCCTTGAAAAGACTTAAGGGACATATAGCCTTAACCTTAATCTCAACTGACATCACTCGGATCGATCCAAGCCACTCGTACACCTCTTCTTTTATTATTTCGATCGATACCTCTATCTTTCCTCTATCAAGATGATGCTTCCTCCTCTTTACAGCGGCTACTCCTCTTAACAAAGGCTACTACTCACCACCATGACAGGCTCCTTTTCTTTGCCTAGCTATCAGCAGCGGCAGCCGTTCGACGATCCGTTCGTCGTATCGATTGATGATTCGGTGGATGACTTCTTTCTTCATCCACGGAGCCTCTTTCACGGAGCCACCATGACGCGAACGAACAGAGCGCTACTACACCTCGACAATGGTGCTGTTGTTGCCGATCGACGGATCCACGCGAAGATGACGACGACGGATCGATCGGCCACTTCTACGGAGCCTCTTTCACGGAGCAATCAATCAAAGCGACGCCTCCTCTTCCACGAAGCGAACGACCATGACACCTCTACTGTGAGCAGTTAGCAGTGGCTACTACAAAAGGAACAAGCGGCATCTTGCTGTGTTGACTGGTTGACTGACAACGAACATCAAATCAAATCTGCTCCAGTTTTGTGGCCATCAAGTCAATAATTCTCCTTTGCATCTTTGGGATGGGTGCTCCAGTCTTCATCCAAAGCCACCCACTCCTCTACCATATACTCTACAGTGCAGGTTGGGTGCTGAGAGTGAGGACAAGAGCGCATTTTTCAGGGAGAAATGCATGGCAGAATGCAAACAAATGAAATCCAAGCCTGGTTTCTCTCAGAGGCTCCATGACAAACCTTGGAGATAGCTAATGCTTTTCAAGGGGGTGTCTGTGAGTGTGTTGGGGAGCTAGTCCTTTGAAAGCATTAGCTATCTCAATGTATTGGTAAAGCTAATAGCCATTTGGTCAACACTGTTGCCATGGTGATAAAATTCAATTTTATTTCTTCATCTTTACTTTGTTTGGATCCATTCTTTTCAATGCAGGATTCGCAAAATGACCACTTCTATTAGAAATGACCGCTTTTGATTTCGGTTTGGCCAAAACGAGAATCCATTTTGACACCTGTCAGCGGTAAAAGAAGTCATCCTGTATCGATAACCTCGGCAGTCTTGCTGCCAGAGCCCTCAACCCCTTTAATTGTTTTTCCTGCTACGCATATCAGTTCAAACGTCTTTTAAGGTCTGGCCGTCGCTACACTTGGTTTTTCTTCAAATTGCTCGATTTGGGTGGGGATAACGACCAATATTCTTTTATTTGACACAAATTCGATCAAAAGAACCATAGAATTGTCATTTGTTGCCCTACCACGGCCAGACCTTAAGAGCCAAATCCTCGATTTTGAACTGATGTGTACGGTGGTCCCTGCAGATATAAGGGTAGGGTTAGAATACAAATAAGTCAGCAAAAACTAAATAAGTATCCTAGGATGGTGCTTTTAAACCAGCTAAAGCTATTTACATGCATCCTAGTAGGGGGATCTGCTTCTATCAGGAAAAACTCTAAAGCTAGCAAAAGCTATATAACTAGTATTCTAGCTAGCTTGGGGTATCTGCTTCTAGCTTGCTATGGGAATCTGCTTCTAGCTAGGGGATCTGCTTCTAGCTAGCTGAGCGCAAGTTAAGCACTAGCTAGCTAAGCACTACAGGTATCTGCTTCTAGCTAGCTAGCTAATAGGGGTATCTGCTTCTACACTGAAACCTTTCTGCCGGGGTTACACAGCTCCGCTGGCTTATCATTGATCCGCTTGTGAGCTATTGGTGTCTTCTGTGCGATTATCCTCCGCGCCATTTTCTGTGTAGTAATAATACTCTATTACCATTTTTGGGAATCATTCCTCACAATAATTCCAGTTTTCTTTTCCGATTGAAGATTCCTCACAATTTCAATTTTCCCTTTCCTCACAATTTCAATTTAGTCAATTTAAATTTTTAAATTTCAATTCCTCACAATTCCAATTTTGCCGATTCCTCACAATTCCAATTTTTTAATTTCTCACAATTCCAATTTTCTTCATTCCTCACAATTCCAATTTTCGATTTCTCACAATTCCAATTTTTGATCTCTCACAATTTCAAGATTGAAGATTCTGTCTGGAACGATGTCGTCTCCAAGATTTAGAGATGCTTGCCCCTAAATCTATTTCGGCTTCCCTTGTCGAAGGCCAAGTACCCCAGCAAGATTGCAAGATCATCAAAGCGAGATGTTCACAGTTCCGTTGCCGCTTGGAGAGAAAGACACCATGAGAGGCTCGGCATCATTAAATTACTTGCTTGGCCCTTAATAGTTCCTTGTTCCTTGAGTAATCCTCGTTTGAAACTCCATGACGGCATTGGCGGACAATGAAGCGGCATCTTTTCCCTCCCACGGCCCCGAACGACGGTCCATTCCCAAGAAACTTGAGACACTCACTCAAGAAATCAAATCCGCCTATGACAATGAGCTGACGGCCATTGCAAGGCGCATGGGAATTGACGACACCATCTCCAATGTCAGAGCCGAATCCTTGCGATCCAAGACGATCCGAGAACTCTTGGATCCACAACCCGACAATCCACTACTAGTAACAACACCAAAACCAGTGCTGTCTTCCATCAAACTCCATGTCATTCAATCCTGGAACGATTTGCTGGATGCTCTGATCCAGCACAATGTGTTTTTGGATTACTGTCATTCCATGGAAGAAGCCTTTCGAGAAATCGAAGAAACACCGCCTCCCGAAGAGACAACCCCCGAAGCCACAATGGCAGCTAGTGTGGTGTGGTTCCGACATCAATGGAATCTCGTCAGGCTATTGACGCATACCGTCGTGAATCATTTTCGAGACAATTGTACCGAATGTCGATTCGTGACTTTGCTGGAAGTCA